ATTCTACCACATCATAGGCCAGTGTAATAAAGTACAACAGAATTTACCTTAGCCCAGCCCCCAGAGGTGAGAAACAGCACAAAGGCAGTTTAGACACCAAGGACATCATCACAACACAAACCTGAGTACGAGCACAACAACTCTGAGAACAAACAACTGACTATTAAATTAATATAATGAATGCTTGTGACAAATCTGTTTTACACACTCTGGTCTGATCTGTTGTTATCTCCACCCTTTGTGCCCCACATTGGGCACCACAAAGATCTGTCACAGTTTAACTCCATCCAGCAATTAGGTACCATGAAACTGCTCATTCACCACCCTCACTTCCTGCTGGGATGGGGAGGCAGGATGGGAAAAAAAGGGCAAAACCCACGGGTTGAAGTAAGAACAATTTAATAGTAGAAATAATATAAATAATAATATAAGTGTAATGAAAAGACGACAAAGGAACTGAGAAATAAAACCCAGTAGAGACAGGTGATGCACACTACAGTTGCTCAGTGCACCCTGGACTGACGCCCAGAATGTCCCCAAGCAGTGTCCCCTGGCCAGCTTCCCCCGTCTGTGCTTGCCACAGTGTTCTGTGGTTTGGAATGTCCCTTGGGCCAGCTGGGGTCAGCTGTCCCAGCCCTGCTCACTCCCAGCCCCTTGTACACCTGTCTGCTGGCAGAGCATGGGAAGCTGGAAAGCCTTTAACTTAGAGCAAGCAGTACTCAGCAACAACTAAAACAGCAGCTTGTTACCAACACTGTTCTCTCACTGACTCCAAAACACAGCCCTGGACCAGCTACTAGGAAGAAAGTTAACTCCCAGCTGAAACCAGGACACAGATTAAAGTTAAATCCAACAACCATTATCATTTTAAAACCCAGCAGGACTCCAGATGTGTTTTATTAATTAATGCTATAATAAAAAACATGGTGTATTCAACCATAATATCCATGTTTGTTTTATTATGAATTCATTGTATAATCAACAGGTTTTAAGCTAACATCAAGTGTCTCAAAATTGCTTTTAGAATCCAGGCTCTTCCAAGAAATTCAGTTGGATCACATAAAAATAAATACCAAAGTTTCAGTTATCAGTTTCTGCAATATTGATTTTTTAACACAGCATTCAGTAGTGCATATTATTTTCCAAATGGAATTCTTATGCAGAAGGATATGCCCCAGTATTATAGAGGTACTAAGTGACACTTACCTGCGAGGAATTTGTGTGTAAAAATCTCAACTTGGAACATAACTGTGCAAGAAGTTGAAGTATCTTGTGTATGTTGAGAATATACTTTGTGTAAAAGCTGGTAGTTCAGAACTTAATCAATTGCCATTGATTGTTCAGTAAACATATTCTAATCAGAACAGCTGAGCTTTTTACAAACAGAACACAGACAATTCCTGATCTGCTTGAAAAGGATTATCAGCAGCAATGAATATACCTGTGAGAGTGCACTGGTACCTCTTTCAAGGGACATAACAAGAAGTTACTTTAATAAAAGAGTTGTGTGCCCAGATTAACTTTTTTTCCCCCCTACTATTGGCTAAATTTTAAAGGTCCTGCCGAAAACCACTTGAGTATTCATTGTTTTAGTCAGCATGAAGACTCGAAGCTAAGATTTCCTGGTAACTAGCTGGTACAATCATTACAAAGGATACAAGACACACTGGAAACTTTGTAACACTATGATATTGATATTTGATGTATAAAAGGTTAAAAAAACCTTTACAAGTAGAATTAGTCTACATCTGAAATTACAAATTTCCCAACAAGCAGAGAAAATTATTTCTAAATTAGTGTGTCCACAAATTTTGCAGTGTTTTGATTGCCATCAACCTCATTAAATAGGAGGAAATAGGCAAATATCTAACAAGTGACTTGTCTGAAGTCACAGTGAGTCAGTGGCTGAAATAAGAACACAGTCCTGCTCTCCTGGTTCCCACTCTGGCATGGATTGAGGCTCCACAGCACAGAGATTCCGTGGGTATCAGCCACAGGAACTGGCAGCAGCTGAGTGCAGGAGAGCCCGAGATGCCCACAGGGGGAACTGAAGTTTGCACAGGGCTCTCGCTGCGGTCTGGCACCGCTCACTGCTGAGCAGGATGAGCCATTCCTGATCCAAGTGACCAGTGCTCAGTGTCACTCCCTGACCATCTCAGAGGAGCCCAAGTCTGGAACACCAACAGCTGTGTTCTTTCCTGGACCATCAACAGGCTGAACTAAGTATCTCATGACACAGCCCCCTCTCTCTGGCAGCAAGAAAAAATCATTACAACTAGAATCAGTTCAGAGTCATTGTTCCAGCAATATCTGTGACTGTTGTTTCAGAACTACAGCACTATCTGAAAAGGTACATTGATAATAAATTAGCCGTTTTAACCCAAATGCTAAAATACTGCATTTAAAAAATTAAAATTTTTTTTCTTAGTCTGCCATTAGGTGTTTTAGAGACAAGTGACAGCTACGTTACTAGGGCTCTTACCAATTTACATTTCTAACACAAAAATTTATTTGTAATAAACTGAAGATTCATAAATATTTTGTTAACTAAGATACCGGTATAGGAACAACCTACCTTTAACAATTCTTTAAGCATTTCCAAGTTCAATTAAATTACACTGCAGTAAAGGATTTCAAGTATGCAAACTGCGAAGTGACTTCTGCAAGAGATTTTTCTTAAACAAAACCATCACTATCTGAAAAATCTATCTCAGTAGAAAACTATAGAAATAAAAACCTAACAGCTAATTTTTGAGAAGTGAGGGAAAATGAATACTGGTGAGATTATTTGTCTCCCCTGGCTCTGGAGGGAGGACATTTTGTCAGCTCCCAGGGAATGTGTTTTGCTGCACTGGCTGTGTGCAGCCAAGCTGTGCAGACTGAGCGGGCAGAGAACCTCCTGATGGGAGTTTGAATGTTTTAGTACAGATTCAGTGCAGCAAAGTCAGTCCAGAAACAGCCATGTCACAGAGAGAGAAAAAAATAAATGCCAAGCTGCTGAGTCTCTTCAGGGCTGAGCTCATGTGAGGATTCAATTCTGGATAAAACAAGTGCCTAACCTTACCTGCAGTGAAACCCATCACGAGTGTCTGGATTACTGCTTCCTAAATGTCATCTGCAGATTGTGCTCATCATCATCAGATGATACAGAAACAGCTGCTTAAACCCTCTAATCCAATCCATGAACAGAAGCAACCAGGGAAAGAACAAAATGGAGAAAAATCAAAACAAACATTCCATGTTACGCTTGATTTTTATTTGGCAGTAAATAAAAATAATAGCAGCAACATTCTACAAGATGATCACTGGAATTTAATTATTCGCTAGGTGACCATACGATTAGAAGGAAAATTGTAAAGTATTAAAATATGATTTTAATACACTGATCATCAGAGTCATTGCTTTTTCACCACTTTTTTTTCTGCATTGCAGACAAGGCTGCACAATTATAAAAGCAGACCAGAGAGTTCCCCATGATACTGTATATTGATTCAGAAATGAGATTTCAGGTAAGGGTCTATTTGCACAGATTTAACTACAGGCTTGGGATCACTGCAGCATCTGATTGTTCCTTTCTGCAGTAGAAAACAAATTATTTAATTAAATTAGCATATCAAAACTTCACATGGTAACAGAACTTCACATTAACTGAAAAATGAAAAGACTTTCAAAGTTTTCAACAATTAAAACATTTTTTTTCTTTGCCTTGTTTCTCTAAGGTGCTGGTTAAATAAGTTAATTTTATGGCAAATTATCAGTATGCTTAGTCTGAGAATACTTTTTCTTTGCATATCCAAAAACCTACCAATTTTCCATTCTGAAACCCTGCAGATACAAAAAAAATCTATTATAAGTAACATTTCATGTTGTTATAAAGACTGTGGTGTACTTCATTCCAGACAAGAAGAAATACATGAGAACATGAACAATATGGTAACAGTAATTAAGATTTTGAAGTCAGTATTGTGTTTTGGCACACTATGTATTAAATAAGCTTATATTTCTATGTTACTGCTTCATGTTTAAAGTTCAAATGGTATTTTTGGAAAGCAGTTACATTTTAACTTTGATTAGTGTAGCAAATGTATTTGAGAAATGCTTTGCATCACATATTTTGAGGTATATTAAAGAATAATTTTTGAAATGTAAATTTTCACAACTCATTGAGGTAAACAGGAAAAACAGATGCACCAGAAATGATTGAGAGGGATTCTGGGCTAGGAATATTCCTAAATTCCCTCTTAAGGCAAAAACATAAGATACAAACAGGAATTTTGCCAGAAAATAGAAAAACCGTCTTTTAGATTTCCTTCAAATCAATCCTCACATATTTAAGGGAAAAAAGGCAGCTGTGAATAAGAAAAACCCAACCTGTCTGTACATAATAGTGCTTATTAACCTCTCTGAACCTTTCAGAGTTTCACATCTTCTTCCAGTCCTTTCCTCATGCAAACCACTGGACAACAATCACATAGGTCCACAAGTTATATATACAATTACAGTATAATGATACCCAAATTTCAGTGAAGTCAGCATAATTTACAGTCAAACTATGCAGGAAATGCAGGGGAAACCAATCCCCCATTCATACAAAACATTCATATTTTGCTGAAAATATGAAGAAATCTTCTTCCGTGAGAAAATCAGCAAAGTGGAAAAAATAAAATGCACCTTCCTTGAATTTCATTTTGACTCTGCCTCTTCATCCATGAATTCAACGAGTGGAGCATGCCTGTTGGCCTGGGCACCTTCTTGGAAATTGACCTTTTTAATGACTCCTGCCTTGGGAGCCCTTATGGTGTGCTGCACAGAAACACAGCCAGAGTGAACAGCAGACAACTCAAGGGGTTTCCCCCGCTCCCTCCCTCTCCAGCAAATGCCAGCATTACTGCTTGGTCCAATTAGGACTGAACACACTTAATTCCTTCCTCTGACATGTTTTATTTTAAACCTTCTTTTAAACATTTCTAGTCCATTTTCAAGTTTTATTTTCTCAGGAATATTTGATAAGTATACTGAGGAGAAAAATGCTATATAATACATTTATATGAATTATCATAATCATATGAATGATCATCAGTATGAACAGCTGACTTATTTTACCTCACTAATACTTTCTGTTGAATAAATACCAAACAGAAATAACACAGTATTAATCAAAAATGTTAATCAGACAGCAGATTTGTTACCTTAAGAGAAATTTTCAGATTTACTAAAGATATTTCTTTTTTCTGGCCAGGAAGGGTCTTTAGTGAGCAGATATTTGGCAAAATGCAGAAGAAACACAAATACAGCTACTAATGACAGCAAAAGAACAGCATATTTACACACCAACCCCCAAGTGTCTGCTTGTCATTGTACCAGGTTAGTTTGATATTGTAGCTTTGCCTCTTGGTAGTTTTCTACATAGGATTAGTCTAACATCAAAACATTTAAGATCAGTTATTAAATCCTTACATCTAAGGACTCTCTAAATAATAACTTCCTTTTTAAATTTTACATTTTATATTTCAATAGCACTTAAAAAAACTCAGATAATGTCAGTCTGGATATCAGCTGGAGAGGCACAAACATTTAGCATCCAACTGCAAAGAAGTTTGGGTGTAGGTTTCTTTTTAATGCATAGTTTTATTTAATATAATTTGAGTGTCATTAAAAAAAGAACATGATAAGAGGAAGGCAGATTTTCTCAACAGTGTTAGTTCTGCTGCCACAAACTGAGGTTTATTTTAAACTAATAGTCAAACTAAACCAGTTTAGGCTACAGAAACTGTAATTCAAGCAATCAGAGCCACAGTCAAGCACTGTGACAAGGTAAAATGGCCAAAATGCCCATCCTCTGAATGCTGTATGGGTAACTACACAGTATCTTTACTGTGCTCCTCATAAAACTTTATGCAAATTGTATAATTATCATTAAATCTCTGCTTGATGTAACTGCAGACATCCATGTGCCTGGATCACAACCAGGAGCCAAGAGACACAGCAAGACAGTTTTGTGCTAGAAAAGTCAAAGGAGAGGGGGGACAGAAGGCCTGACACCACCACTCAAATGCATGTTAAAACAGCTGCAGAATACCATGGATTATATAATCATCATTTGTTAGTGAAATAACAGCAAATTTAATCCTCTGAAATCTAGTCAGATACAACACTGATGTTACAGCAGATGAAGTGGTACTGACATCTGCAAGTTGCACTCTACACTGAACTTCAATAATGCAACCGAAAATTATTACATTTTGAGCAGATTTTTATTTTATCAATAATTAAAACCTTTATATGTCACTTACCTCCATTTTCATAGCTATCATAACCATTAGAGGGTCTCCAATCTGAACCTTATCCCCTGCCTTCACAAAGACCTGCAATTCAGGAGAAAATTGGGGGGAAAAATCATTTATGCCTGTACCATATAAAATCAGCTGGATCTTGACTAACACCATGCACAGAGGGAGTGAGGTTTTGCAGAACCTCCTCATATTAATCTTAATTTTTGTTGGTGTAGGACTTCTCGGAACAGTTCCGATAGATCTCCTCAAGGGAAGGCAGAGCCTACAGAAAGAGGGTCAGTACCAGATGACAGGATGACCAGAAGCCATTTACCTATCAAAGAACAAACACTAGAAGAGATGATGTATACTCTACCCTTTCTGGGCTTCATAAATTCTGTTTTGAGAAAAGTGCAGAACCTCTTCCTGGAGCCAGTCCCTAAAGTCTTTAAAACAACATCCAGAAAGAAGATGGCAGGAGCCACCTCATTTTTCAACAATTCCTCTGACTTGGAGTGTTCATTCAGGATGTCAGAGATCCCCATTCAATGTCCTCCACCCTTCGTGCCTTTTTATTAGTGGCTGAATCTTTCAACCCCCAAACTCTCTAGAAAATCTCCTTCTGTTGAAACTTTGTCACTGTACAGAGAATGCAGAAGACTTGCTGAGATAAAGAAAATTAAATCAATTCACAGCTCAAAAAAAGAGGAATTTCTGAGTATTTCTCCTTTTGCAGTGCATCTCACTCTTTTGTTAAATGAAATGAATCAAACAGTCCATAACACTTCAGGGAGCATTGACTTGGGAAGTAATTAAGATGAAGAAAAAATTAGTTAAGCAGTAGCATTAGTTCAGATCTTCCAGAGCTCTAGAGAAGGAATGGAAGCCTTAAAAAGCCATGGGTGGCTGCTGAAAACTCCAACAAAGCTTTTCCAATCAGAAGTCACACAGCACTGACATTTCTGGCCCCGGTTCTTTCCTGACAGTACAGAAGCACTATATCTGGCAGAGAAAATTTGAATGTATTGGAGAATTCAGGTCCCACCCATGTTGTTATAATTACCTTTTCTACTGTGCCTGTCATGGGTGCCACAGCTCCACTTTGCTCTGCCCCTGAACTCACTGCAGACAAGTATTTGGGCACAGGGAGGCCAATCTGAGCACTGCCTTCCTACAAAAAGAAAATCCAGCACAGTTGAGGTAACAACATGAAGTAACAGCACTAATAGATGGGCTGACAGAGGGAAAGAACAGAAAAAAACCTCTGTTATCAAAATCCCTTAAGTCCTCTCAGAGTTGCTTCCCAGAGTCTCTCAAAGACTCATTATCCCCCACATCCTTCCCATGCCCTGAAGCCCTGTGATTTCTGCTCTATCACTCACCCCAGACTCCACTCTGATACCACAGGACAACTGAGCTTTGCCATTCCAGCATGGGTAATTTTGTCCTCATCACTGGAGCAATGAAGTTTTTGCTGCATTCTGCTGAAAGCCTTAAGGGGCTCAGAGCTAGAGGTTAATTACTGAAACTAATAAATACTTATTTATTTATTTAGATTACATTGAGTTAATTACTTTAAGGCCTTGCAATGTTTTAATTGTAAATAAAAAAATACCAATCTAACACTGCAAGTTAGAGTACCTCTTCTTTCAAATGTCATTTGCATATATGGAAGACATATAATGCCATGGTAACTCATAATTGCCTATTTTAATATTAGCTGAAGTTATCCTTCCTCAGACCATTATTGATTTATTTCTTGTCATATAATTTAAAAATTGTAACTGAAATTAAAACACCAGTTACAAGACCTTTCAAATATTTGTCAGTTTGAAGTACTTGCTACTGTCCTGTGACAAACTTAAATACCTGACAAATTTAGTATTTTGTGTTCCCTTCTCCTAAACCATCATGTCCACACCTGACTCATTAACTGTATTTTAACTTTCTAAAAGTAATTCTTTTTCTCACTCACCACAAGCAATGAATTTCTAATTAGAACAATAATCTGACAAGTATCAAAACTTGATAGGTCAAAGTAAGAAACTGAAATTGTTGTTCTCTTTCACATTCTATTGCAATTTATATTGTTCATTTATATGGATAAAATTCCAAAATTTTAAATTTGTGATAATAAAGAAAGGAACATTACCGGGAAGAACAGATAAATGGTGTTGTCCAAAATGACCAACTTGGATTTAGACACTGTTCCATTTACTGAAGACCTCAAGTAAAGTGAATCACCTTCTTTCAATATCTCTCCAGAAATCAGGAACTCTTTATCTTGAATCTGAAAGTTACATGCTTTTATAAGGACAAAGGTTAACCCTTCATGAGCAATAAATCAGAAGTTTCTATTTGCACCCTCATAAACCTGTGAGGGTTCTGCATAGCGAACTCTGGATGTTCAAAACCAACTTGTTTTTAAACCTTATGTATCCTTTCTTTCTCAGTTAAAAGACTGTTCTGTATTCAATAAAAACAGCTCAGCAAATTAGCTGATATATTCACTCAGGACAATTTTTATCTTAAACACAAATATACTATTTCTCAGGAAAAACAAAAAACCTCCCCAAAATATTCAGTTTAGTAATGCTATTAAAATCCAATATTTTTAATTTGTCCTAGCATCTTGAATTTCTTCAGACTGAGGAATTCATAGTATTCAGCTGACATATTCCACAATTTTTTCCAAAAGAGGTGATTTCCTCTGTCTTGGAAGCTTGAAGGACAACTACAACATAGTGAGTAAACCTACAAAGGAACAGAGCAGTAATGGAAACAGTGCCAATGAGACACTAATACTGCAAAAGAAAGACCAAATAAAAAGGTCATTCATTTATGAGTACCCTTCATCCCATCCCACCCTTTCCTTTAGTGAAAGCTGCACCTGTACTACAACTGCAGCACAAAGGTAAATACATTACATTTTACTTATATGTTTACTTCCATGTCTGACATCACTGAGCACAGAATTAGAGACTTGCTGGTCTTTCAGGATGGTACAAGTAGAAATAAAAGTCAAGTCTTCATTTACATAGTTGCAAATTACTCTTCCACAGAAAACATGCACTGAAGGGATGCTGTTGATCTCTCACTGATCCCTGAGCAGAGAATTGTTTGCTTGAGCACTGAGTGCCTGCCAGTTCTAGGCCCAGCCACCTGCTCTGGTGGCTTTGCCTCAGGACAGGTACTGTAACACTTCAGTGGCACTGTCCTCCTCATAATTAGCCCCTAGTTATGTCTTCACATCTCTTATCTCCAGCTGCTCTCTATTTCCATGTCAGTGCACATTCTTCCTTCTATCCCTAGGAGTCTACATTCTCCCCAGTTACACTTCCCCCCACAGCTGGTCCCTGCATCCCTTCTAGCCTCTTATCATTGCCGATGTGACTTCTGAGGTCAGGCTCAGGTGTAAAAGCTGTCAGACATTACACAGATAATCAATACACTCAAAATTACCCAGGTATTACAGGAGGGATGTGGGTTATCTCAATCTTATATCAGTAGAAGTAAAGGTTTGAGTTATCATGACATACCCTTGAAAGCACAATAATTTTATCCCTATTTTTCTAGTACACCCATCTCTATATAGTCTAAGCAGTTAATAAATACTTATTCTCTTAATTACCCTATTCTGACTATTAAAACAAGAACTAGAGACTGCATTCTTGAGTATTCATCTATTCTGGGTGCCAAATCTGAGAGAATAAGACATTCAAACTACAGGAGATGCCAGAAGGAATATTGAACACCCAGCCAAACACAACCCCATTAAGGCAACAACTGGAGACTCTCAAATCTGCACACGCAAAATTATCTACAACTAAGGCATCTTGAGCTGTTTACTATAGGAGCTCTATAGCATTGAAAAAGAAGCCAATTCTAGGGAGCATCATTCAATTATCTAACCAGAAGATTCCTCAGCTCATTTGGTAATCACTCTCCAATTTCCATCTTCAAAATAAAATGTTATCTTGCAGATAATGCTCTAGAAAGCTTTTATTTATCCCACAGGAGATCCATTCTCATGCATAGAATAGAGCAGGAGTCCTGTGAAAAAAAGTCTTTTTAAATGCAGATTTAAATCTAACTTCCCATATTTTAAACAGACAAATTTACTAAGGAAAATAAATAATAAGACCTTTAAATACTGAAAATACAAACACTTTTCTTAGCCTTGTCAGAAATATTTTAATAGCTCTTCCATGCCAATCCAGCACGTACTACAAATAATTTCAGGTAAAAGTAACAGTATATAGCAATGGATACAAGCAAACTAAAAACAGAATCCTGCACCTGTAATCACCAAGCAACTTTAGTAAAAATTAACACTAACAGAAATCTACAAGAAATGGATTATTTTATCTAATGAGGTATCTGAAAAAATTGTACTTGTACCTGCATTTTGTATGACCCATCTTGATTGTAACTTACAGCTACATCCACAACTGTTCAATAAAACAAAATATGCATGTGTGAGTAGATTTAATTGGAGTATCTAGAGAATGATAACTGTATCTATAAACTGCATCAAGGCTTTCTTGATAAAAATGAGGCCTACCAACACTGAGATAAGAACAAGTATTTTCAGATTAGTTTACTACACACTGCAGCATTCCTATTGAATTCCAGTCAATTTTTCTTTCAAAAGACAAACACCTGAAACTGTCTATTTAAAATCTATATTATCTGGGCAGAAAAGTTTGTGAGGGGAAAAAATACTCCTTTCACACCAAAAAGAAGTTTAAAAAAAGTAAATGGCACTCTGCTCTTTTTAAAATCCCAATCTCATTCATTTAAATTATGAACATTAATCAGCAGCCATTTCAATTTGGTTTACATGTCCTCAGGATCCAACAGTGTGGATTAAACATGCAATTCTGTGAATTCCCATCTTACACTGCATAAAACTCATACGGCTTCTATGCAGTTTCTTAGCCTGAATTTTCAACCATCAGTATAAATAACTTCATCCATCAAGTACCTCCCTTCCCTCCACACACTTTTTTATTAACTTACTGTTTTCCCCATCCAGCAGAGACAGTTCTCTAGTGTAACATATATTTATTCTTCTACCACTGCTGGATGCAAATGGTGAGAATTTATCTAAAACACAAGATACACAGATATGTTATTTTTCATTGTACTTCAGCAAAACACAACACTTAGAACTTAGGCCTTAAAATAACTGTCCTACTGTAAACTGCCTTCATATTTATGTATTTATATTGGACAGAAAAGACTGGGGAACTACTGTAGTCACAGAGAGTGACAATTCCTTGATCCCCAACACTGAATAAATTGTTGCTGTGACCTACAGAAAACATGACACTAAGAAGGGCACTGACTGTTTTCCATGAACACATCCTTAAACATCAGAATTCAACTACACCACAGCAGGTCCTGATGAACCTTTAGGTGAAGGTTCCATTAAACCCCACTGCCTCTCCCATTCAGAGCAGAGGTAATTTTGTCTGAAGACCTTGGCCAGCCGTAGGAATAACAGAGGCAGAAGGTCACTGCTTGTGGTTATCGAGAGCAAAGAGCTCACAGTGCCACTGACCGTGAATCCCAAGATCTTTCAGACAGTGCCTGTCTGAAGGGCTTTGGGAAGTGCTCTGGACATGACAGTGGTGACACATTCCATATCTGATCCTTAACAAAAGATATAGTTTGCCCTGTGTGTAAATATCTGGGAGATG